GGTGAGTAAGAATATTTATTTGGGTGTCATGAATACCAGAACCCATCCTGGACATTTTTCTAGCCCGTAGTAAGGATGTCTTCTCATAAATCTTATATACCTACACACAAGAGGAGGACTGCCTACTTGTGGCCTGGGGGCTAAAGACAATTTAGAGGCACATAGTGTGGTTTTACCAACTCACCTGTTAAAATCAGCGATAGACACAAGTACACAAAACACAAGCAATATAGATGTGTTGATAGACATACAAGATGAATAGAAAGAACTAAAGTGCTATGCACTTGGGCATTTACTTTTCCCTATTACTTAGACTCTGAATCAGGTTGGGTCCATTTTTCATTGGGATCAAAAATATGGACACCTCCATCAACTAATAGGAGGTCTCCTAAGATAGCCATTGCTGGATATTCAGGGATGATATACACCCAGTTAACTTCTGGGTTGACCAAGATGGCTGCGAATGAACATTCACTGAATGGCCCTATCTCTATTAATGGGGAACGTCGACTCTCTGGTGGTGAATAAAGCGCTCCATTGGAAAACAGTTATAACCAATCGGGGAAGTTGATATGCCAGTGGCGAATATCCCACTCCATTGCTTATTCTTCAAAGCTTAAGGACAGGATTGGAGAATAACCAAACCCAATGCTGATTGGAGATTCGCCTAAACACAATGAAAGTGGAGTTCTGAAAGGAACTTTGGGAGGGCATTTAAAAGGGATTTGTTTCTTTCACTCAATGATGAACACGTAGGTCGAACGTGTTGTTCTTGTGCTTATGTGGATGATTTTACGCATATAAGATTTTATATATATTTTTTAATACATTTGCTATACCTAATTTTTACCACTTACTGTCTGTGTCTCACCTCATAACCTACATTGGAATATTGAGGAATATTCAAATGGGAATGCTGAACACTTCCACAAACTGATGGTCGATTGAGATACTTCCAACCCACTGCTATCAAATAGAGCCAATATTGCTGTCCCCCTAAGTAATATCCAGTTGTACACTCAAATTACTCATAAAAAGGATGTAGCAGAATGGATACTCTGGCTACACTTTTATTCCCTTTTGTTAGCTTGTCCGTATGGCTCCGCACGTTTACCGAATCAACTCTGTGTGATCCCCTTGTTCACACCTTTTAATTACCGACCGCCCCAGGCTGTTAACCACAAATTGGGTATTAGTTCAAGTGTTCCCCTGTGTGGCCACCGTTCGTATAACCGAATGCACGCAGCGGTACATGGTCGTCGACAGCGTGGAACTAATTTCGGATAAACGTCCCAATGAACGCACGGGAAACTGGTACCACTGCCCACCCAACTTCCCAAACAGTTAGGAGAACGGCGTTCGGGAGGCAGAAACTACCGAACAGGGGGAGCATTCATATCTAACAGCCAGAGGATGGAATCATCAGAGTTCGTGCGAGACTCCCTGAAAAATGACAGATTGTTGCTCTGTTTTCCATAGACCTGTTTTGGGGCATCACCTCGTGGCTGACAGGTCAAAACTTCATTCAAATGGCGTTCCCGAACCACCGAAGGGATCTGAGTGATATTTTGTCAAAGTGTGCGCTCAGATCCTAGCTATTCAGATATATTTTCAGATATTTTCGTGGGGTTCTGAAGTTTGGGCTGTTTTGAAATATTGTAGATTTTTCTTTACCTGAGAGATAATTGAGTTATAGTTTTTTCTCACACAATTACCTCTCAGGCACAGAGGATCTTGGGAAGAAAAGCCCTGTAATTGTGACTAAGAAACCCCATGCTTGGGGCAGTATAAAAGCCATTGTACTCCCAGAACTGTGTGTCGTCCAGTTGCTGGGGGGGGGGAGGTGGATATATCTACTTGGTGTTTTCTCGTTCCTGATTTTACTCTTGGGTAATCCAGCGGAGAGGAAGTCCCTGCTAGGACTAGGGCTCTGCTACAAAGGAAGGGTTATTCTATTAAACATTTCACTTTGTGTGCACTTTCACTTTGTTATATTTGCAATGAGCAGTAAATGCTTAAACCTTGCATACCATGCCGAAGAGCAGTAAATGCACAACTTTGGCTAATCATGCCAATGAGCAGTTAAAGGAAAGGAAGATGTATACACTAACAAGTTCCTCTGCTCCGGGGCCCCCGATGCTTGGTGATGTAAGGGGTTAAATAACCTTTTATTTACTTACCTGATTCCATTCGATCTAGCGATCTAGCTCTGCCTCCTCGGGGATCCAATGCACATATATATATATGGCGAGCGCAGCATATATTGCCTCAGTGCTTTCCTATGGGGTTTTCCTTGATACTGGATGCCCTCACACAGTGTCATTTCTCTAAAAGGGCAATGTTTTACACTGCAGGGCTAAGTGTGACAAAGAGAATGCACCCAGACCACTCCAATGAGCTGAAGTGGTCTGGGTGCCTATAGTGTCTCTTTAAGTCATAAAACTTGTATATCATGCCAAAAGGCAGTAAATGCAAAAACCCTGTATATCATGCCGTTAAGCAACAAATTCATAAAATTTGTATATTCTGATAGTGTGCCATCTGGGCCCCCAAACAACCTGCCAGTTCCATCTCTCTGCCCCCAGCCTCTCTGTGATATTTCTGCCACCAGCAACTTTCTCAGACAGCCTGCTTGCATCCCCAGCAACTTGCTTTGCCTTGGAGTGCCTGGACATTTCTCTCTTGTACCCACTGTATTTGGGATCTGGTTCTGGTTCCTGGTTTGGTTGCACCCAGGATTCGGTATTTGGATGAGTGCAATTCTGGATTTGGTTTTGCAGAGTGTGCCTGCTGCAAAACATACAGCCAATGGAATATTTCTAATGCCGGCAACTGCTGGATTAATGGCCATTAGAGTGATACTAAAAACCTTGTTATTTAAATGTCAGAAGGATTTGGGATAGTATACAAGTAACTTTTTTCTTTGGTTTTTATTGTACGTATTGGGGCTTATGTGTACTACTATAGTTATTGCTGCTGCCCAGGAGTAGTGGGAGTTTGAGTGCAGGACTTATTTTTGTATGTTAGCGTTTTGGGCTGTCTGGGGGGCAATTGCACCTTGGTTCAGCCAGCCCCTGCTACACACACAGATGTCATGTGCCTAAGGACAGGAACAGCGGACATCCATATAATTAGTATACATCCACAAAGCAGTCACTAACTAATAGCTAATTACAACCCTCAGGTTCACAGGTGACGTGCTTAATACCAGTATCAGCTATCTGAGGTTCCCATGCTTTCAGTTACAGCTGCCAAAGAGACCATTCACATACTAGATCCTATACTGCCTTACAACAGGATAATTACAAAGAGAACACAGCATATACATCACGTTATTATCATCTTTATTCCATATCAGGAAATATATCAATTGATTAATAAAATGTCACATGATAAAAGATTTACAGGGTTATTCACTAAAATGTGTATTCAATGTGAATTTCAACTTTATGGTCAGAGTAACCGAGTTAGAGAACGTTTCCAGTTCAGCTATTTCAACCTTAAATTTAAAATTAATTTAGAATTTTACTGTTATTTTATTAATTTGAGAGAACAATGATCATGATATGGATTGTATACTAGACACTGTTTTCTACAAATAAAAACTTTACAGAGAGAATAGAAACCCATCTTTCAGAACAACTTAAAAACATCTGTCAGAGCAAAAATAACAATAAGGCAACTCTAGGCGGCCATCCAGACCAGATCAAGGTTACCTAGGGGCCTGAGCAAGGTGCCAGATTGGGGTCCCCTACTTGAGACCTGGGCTCTGTTTGTGTGAGTGGTGTGTGTGTAGCGATAGATGCTAAGAGCAATATGGGGGAGCTGAGTGTTTCTGTCTAGAGCTTTTAGACAGAAACTCTCTTTTAGTCGGCTCAAGGACACCCACTCAGCACCAGAGCTCCAGATCCTATGTGGCTGCCTTGGTCACCTAATGGGTAATCCGGCTCTGTAGTTTCCTACAGCCCAGGGGTTAGACAGGGGTCCCAGAACCAGGAATTTACTTGGCCCCATTTACCATCCCTGTGTGAAGAATAAAGGATATCCCAAACTGGAAACCTACCTAGGGCCCTGTGGGATCTTAATTAGTCTGAATCTGAAAATTCTAGTTACTAAAGAAACATTCCAGTATTAAAAAGAAATAGATTTCCAATGTTCGGGTATTTGTGATATTACTAACTTCACCCCCCCCTAAAATTGATCTGTCACTAATCTAAAGTGTTTTAGTGGATTGCAGTATTCATTTAAAATTGGTAATAATATGAGAAGAATCCCTCATTGAAATATTCCTAAATCTGCCTGAACTAATTTTTCTTTTTATTCTAGGAATGCAAGCAGTGTTTAACCCTTTATTCTAGGAGTGCAAGCAACGCTTAACCCTTTATTAGCACAACAAATGATCAATGCATTCATTTATTCACTTGGATACTGGCACACATATGTTTAAGGCATGGTGTAAAGTGAGATGTCTCAGTTTCATTTTTTTGTGATGAAGCCATTAGATATTCATTAGTGGCAGGGCGTCATTCTTAGATCACGTTCCCTCCCTGCCACGCTTGCAGTGCACATTACTTAGCTTTGTTTCAGAGTTATTTAAACACAACTCAGGATTAAACAATGTTCTACAATGAGCAGAAGGTGGAAGCCAGCAGGTGGGCCTGACCCTCTCATTTAATAGCGATTAGTGAAGATTAAAGTCACCATTCATCTGCTGACAAGAAAGGCTCCCTGCCCCCACAAACTGTCATGTCAAGGCATATATTGTACTATAACATTCACAGAAAACCTAGGGGCCAATTTCTGTTTGTACTATTATTCCTCTATATAACAGGGTTTCCTGTACTAGGACTGACATAGAGATTGGACACAGTCACAGACCTACTGATAACTTCTGTTCCAACTGTTTGAACTCACTGTAAGGAGACAAAACGAAAATGCACAGTGTGTCTAATTTCTCCATCAGCCAGGACATATGGATGGAATAATAGTGTATTATGAGTGTGGCAAATTGAAGGATGGAATAATAAATAAAAAAATCAGTAACATACAATATGACTCTTTAATATGATACTTTAATTTTAAGGGGTGTGTGTGGCCCCATTTACACAACTAAAATGTAATTTAGAACAAGAACAATGTTTCCTTTGTAGACTGACTGGTATCTAAACACATTGATTGTAGTTTAAAGTCACATTACTGTAAGTATTATTGCTTTGGAGCTCTATTATACACTCAGACACACCAACAATATGGAGCTCCTAGAAAAGAGGCACATTATGATAAGAAAGAGGGATGGAGGGATGAGGACCTAAAATAGGGACTGTCCATCCTAAATTGGTACATTTGGAAGGTATGGTAACTATACAGTGAGAGATTTCTGCAAAGCTCTTTGGATCATGGGACCTGCACGGTTGCAAACACGTTTTATTTTCTCTTTTTTGTTTGGTTTTGGTGTTACAACTGGACTCCGTTGTGGATCTGTATGTGATTTTCTTCTTTTTATGAAAAACTGTCCTGTGTTCCCTTTCACAGTTCAGCGCATCCTGTTTATAGATAAACAAATACAAGGTATATGTGCTCGCTATATCTTTAAGAGATTGATAGGGGCTGCAGATTATCATACAAGATTTCCCCAACCTTGTGACAACACAAATTAAACAAAAAAAAGACAATCCGCGCCTGTGGTTTAGCAGCACCACATACAAATAAAAGTATTTACATACATAAATATAACAAGATCTTGTTGGTAGATGGGTCTCTCAAAAAGACAAAAAAAGAGATAAACAATACAAGTGCAATGTTTTTAAATATTGTGGGATAATATATTATGACAAAGGCACACTCACACTTTCAAGAGCTATATCGAGCTCTGCTGATAAAGGCGTGGACGGTATAATCCCCGTCTATGGATATGCAGCAGTAGTGATGATATATTCAGCAGGGGTTATGGTACTTTCTTGGTAAAGTGCAGTATGCTGAGGCATGAATAGGAACATCCAAAAGCGTAATATGTATGATACAGTATTTTCTTCTAGAATAATAGTAGGTATTTTACTCACATTTTTTTAGGGCATGAAACTGCTCTAGTATAGTGGAGCTTTGGTGGTATTTTACTCACCTGGGATATGCAGGACTGAAATTATTAATTATCTTGGACAACCTACAAGATTTGTTAAAAGAACTAGAAACAGCATTAACAAAAGAAATGAAATTAAGATGGGAGATAGCTACTCTCACTAAATACATCGATAATAAAATAACACCAGGAGGCCTCAGACTATTCAAAATGCCAACATCAGATACTGATAACACTAATTTTATGGGTGAATGGTATGATCACTTAGAAAATTGTACTCTTGGTTTAATGAAGAGCTTTGTTAAAGTAAAAACTGAAAAATTAACCACCCTGGATAGGAAAATGAATTCATTAAAATAACTTATCAAATATGGAGATACAAGAGAATTTTTGGATTCAGCTTCAAATATAAAGAAAACAGTTGAAAAAAAGTGAAATTGAAACCAAAAGGATAAAAATCAATAAATACAACAGAGACAAGTATGATTACGTCCACAACCAGGTACGATACTACAATACCAACAAAACACACAGCAGAAAATATTCAAAACATTGGAAAAAATTATCAAATCACTAATAGATACAATCACAGAAACACATAAGATGCGAATACACCTACACACACGTTTTATCGTAAACGTTTACCCAGTCAAAATTTTCAATATAGAAAAGATTGTTTCACAAGAGTGGAACATCTTGCATGATACACAAACCAAAAACACTATTCACCAAAGAGACACTCACCACGTAGACACTATTCACCAAAAAACAAGTACACCACCAAGTCTCCCAACTACTTGGATAATAAGAAATCTTCCTATGAGAGACAAAGAAAGGATGTATTCACAAACGGCAAAACACATTTCACTACACACAAAACAATTAGATCAAACAGATCACGTAACAAGGAAAACCCAAGAATAACAGAAAAAGTCAGTTGTCATGCAAAAGAAGTTGATTCACCTCCTTATGTATTTTTGGTAAAAAATAAATTACTGGTGTTTTGGGATATAGAACATTAAGATAGTTAGAAACATAGAAACATAGAATGTGACGGCAGATAAGAACCATTCGGCCCATCTAGTCTGCCCAATTTTCTAAATACTTTCATTAGTCCCTAGTCTTATCTTATAGTTAGGATAGCCTTATGCCTATCCCACGCATGCTTAAACTCCTTTACTGTGTTAACCTCTACCACTTCAGCTGGAAGGCTATTCCATGCATCCACTACCCTCTCAGTAAAGTAATACTTCCTGATATTATTTTTAAACCTTTGTCCCTCTAATTTAAGACTATGTCCTCTTGTTATGATAGTTTTTCTTCTTTTAAATATAGTCTCCTCCTTTACTGTGTGATACATAAGGACATTAACAACCCTCCAGGGAGACCAATCGTCTCCGGTATTGGGTATATTTTATCTAACCTCTCAGAGTATGTGGACATCAGGCTACAACCATATGTCAAAAACTTAGATCATATCTGAAAGACACAATAGACCTTATAAACAAATTAAATAATATAAGATGGAATAAAAATCATTGCCTTATTACTTGTGACGTACAGTCACTTTATACCATCATCCTACATGATAAAGGCTGTAAAGCTGTAAAAAGTATTTTAGAGAGACATAATGACATACACCAAATACAAACAGATTTTATTATAGAGGCCATAGAACTTATTTTAAACAACAATTATTTTTGGTTTGATTAATCTTTTTATCTACAGAATACGGGCATCAGGTTTGCACCCAGCTATGCCAGTCTCTTCATGGCAGAATGGGAGGAGATGTCTGTCTGAAGTGGGCCTGGCTGAGTGGACAGCCTGGTGTCTTATTTTAGATATATCGATGATCTCCTTTTTATATGGAATGGCTCGGTTTCAGAAGCACGGGATTTTATAAGCTCACTTAATAATAATAATAATAATAATAATAATAGTATTATTCTCAAAGCTAATTTTAGCAACAGAGAAATTACTTTTTTAGATTTAGATATACACATAAAAGCCAATAATATCCAGACTAAGACCCATTTTAAAAAAGTTCATACAAATAACTTTATAGACGTGAAAAGTTGCCACAATAAACCATGGCTTAAGAGTGTCCCTAAAAGCCAAATTTTAAGGTTAAGGAGAAATTGTTTATACAAAAAGGGTATAATCCAGGTACCCTTGCCTTGATCATAGAAGAAACTAATAAGATAGAAAGAAAAAATCTTTTAACCAAAAAATTTAAACAACAAAGATGGGAATGCGTTTAATCTACCAATAATTCTGGACTATAATAATAAATATATATATATTAAACGAATCCTCAAAAAAACATTGGCACATTTTAAAAGAAGACAATATTTTAAGTAGAATTATTTCAGAAAACCAAGTTATTTTTAGAAGAGCACCAAATTTAAAAATGAAATTAACAAAAAATTATACAAATAACAAATGTACAAATTTTTTTTTAATGACAATAGAGGCTATTGTAGATGCAACTGTTGTGTAGTTTGCAAAAAAACACAGAAAATAGAGAAATACCCTTCAAGTTTTAAGTCAAATAATGCAAATAAAGTATATAAAATAAAAGTTATTATAACGTGCAATACTAAAAATACAATATACTTATTAGAATGCCTGTGCGGTCTCCAATATATCGGTAGAACAATTAGACCGCTTAAAATTAGAATAGGAGAACACTGCCATAATATACAGAAAGGCTATAAGAATCATTTAGTGTCTTCACATTTTGATATACACCATAATAATGATCCTGGTCTACTTACTTTTATGGGAATAGCTACTTTAAAAAAAAACATTGGAGAGGTGGGGATCTAATAAAAATGCTAGGAAAAAAAGAAATGGAATGGCTCTACTACCTAAACACTTTGCACCCACATGGTCTCAATGCAGACTTTGCTCTATATAATTTCCTATAATATTTTATGCATTAACTCCCTCCCTTTTTTAATCTCCTATATATTTTTTTAATATAAATTTATTTATGTAAAAAAATAATAATTAATAGCTCAACATCCCTTATATTTCCCTTTAGCCATCAGTTTTATATATATATATATATATATATATATATATATACAGATCTGCACTGAGACTTGTTTTAACTTTCTTATCCTTTTATTCATATATATTTTATTTACATATTTTATTTATATTTTTTTATATATATATATATACATTTTATAATATATATATCTATATCCCATAGTGTCCTTATTCTACTATTTTCTTAAGTACTATCTTTATGCTTGCTCTATTGTACTAATATGTCTTTTTTATTCTAAATCCGTATTTTTATATATGCGATTTATATCTCCTGTATGCTACTACCTATGATGCCGATAAGCCTGCTTCCGCCCGATACCTTAAGAGTATCAGGACACTGACACGTGCATAGTTCAAGTGTTACGCATGCGTACTAAGTATGGGGTTATTCACCCCTTCCCGACATGCGCGATGACCCGATGTCACAGCGCATGCACACTTTGAATGTTTCATTACGGGACAAAGGCAGCGGTTATGAATAATCCTTCTGACAATCTGATGGGCAGACACAAACATCGGATTTATATACGGTCGGCTGGAGGAACCTACCACGGACCTGGTATAACACGTTACCACCCCTGATGGATATTTAACCCCTTACGGACACATGATGGAAATATTTCGTCATGATTCCCTTTTGTTCCAGAAGTTGTGTCCTTAAGGGGTTAAATACCGGAAGTATTTTAAGAAACCAGTTGGAACGTTTTGTTAACATTTGTTAAACATTAACATCTTAAAGACTTTATGTATATAACTTCATTTGTTTTAAAGTTGAGTCACACTTCTGATGAAACCCCATGGTGAAATACGTTAAGTGTGCTTTTAACCAATTTTGGAGTATGTTTTATGATATTGTCACAAACTCCAGAACCAGACACGCTGACTTAACACAGAGACAGGAATTGCAGTACCGGTCCTTAGAGTGGCCGGGCTATGCAAACAGAGAAAAGTGAGAATACAAGCCAAAGTCAGAGGGAACCAGAAAGACAGAATAATTGATAAGGCAAACCGAGTTCAAGGGTCAGAAAAAGCAGGATAAACGGTGACACAGGCCAAAATCCGGTAACCAGACAAACAGAGTATACCCGCTA